CTCTGTTTCGAGCAGTGAAAACTGAAGATGAAGAGCCTGAGCTTCGGTCCATGACTAAGGTTATTTTGCATATATCTTGCTTTGATTATTGAATTCTTTTTTTTTTTCTTTTTTTATGAAATTTGTTTGTAGGTCTTTATGAAGAACTTATGGCTTTGTTTTTTTTTTTTTTTTCGTTTTCTTTTGATACACAGGGCGTTCAGAATACAAATGCTTATTCGCATGCTATAACTGATGCTGATGTTTTTTCAGTAATTAGGAATTTAATCGGGGTTTTTTTATTTTCATAATGTTCGTTCTTTTTTTTCTTTTCAAATATATAGATACATATATTCTTTTTTCTGCATTGATATTAGACTTTGTGGGCAGGTATTGCAATATCATAACCATATGGCGAGGATAGCAGTTTCTTACTGTAAGTCGGCACTGAAATGAATAGTGCTTGATTCAACTTCTGGTATATATGTCTCATATTCTCCAGTGAGTTTCTTCTTTGAACTGTGATTCAGACATGATCAAACTGAGATGACCACAATTTTTTTTTTTGTGCTCCTAGACTTTGTGTGTGTGTGTGTTTACTGTTTCCAAACTTTATGTTAATAATTGAAAGTTCAGATTATGGGATATGATTTTCATGATTTCACTCTTTCAACATTTGTTTTCCTTTTTTTTTTTTTTTACTCGAATATGAATTATATTTGGATGAGTTAGACATTTTTTCTTCTATGATTCAAATGTGTCGGATTTGATGGCTACATTTGAGGTTTTGGTTTACTGATGCGGCGTTTTCGATGGTGAGTTTTATTTGTGTAGTTTGAAATCATATATACTAATTTTTTGTGTCTGTTTGCACATAGGTTTTTTATAGCTTATTGACTAAATGAACATTTAAAAACATTTAGTATCCAATTATATATATTTGTAAGTGCTTATTTATGAGTTTTTGTTTTCTCTGCTTTTTATCATTATACAGCTATCTGAGAAGGAAAAAACTTACCAATTAGCCCTAAGAAACTTATAATAGCCTCCACTAACAACAAGTTAATCAGTGTTGAGCCTCCTTCTGGAAGAAAAGATGGCGGAAAAGACAGAACAAACCATCACGGATGTGGCATTCGTATGCATTTTTTATCGAACCGAGTTAAACCATCTGGTAGAATGAGTTGTTATTATTTATTTAACTATAATAAAATTAGAAAATATTTATGTTCATTTTGATTTTCAAACCGTAATGGTCTTCTATAAATATTAGAGTTTTTCTTTTGGTAATTTCGCAGGTTATCGTAGCAGGAAAGGGCAAAGAAACTATTAATATGCTATTGATTTGTGTCCCTGTCATTCCAAAGTATTCAATTGGCGAAGTATCCTATGGAAGGATATGCTGTAGCGATTTAGAAGATAGACTCAGACCAAGAGTTTTTAACCCACGTTTTTTTGCATAAAACACTTTCTCTTTATGCGTATATATGCATAAATTATAGCTTTCCATAAAGACATGTTATTTCATATATGGTTTTGCAGGTTGTTATATTACAGTAGATGGATTCCAAGTGTTTAATTGGCAAAGGATTTGTTTGTCGTGAAGATGGATTCACGAAAAGAGGACATGCTGTAGAAATTAAAAAGTGAAAGACTCTGACTACCAAGAATTTCTAGCTCAGGTTTGTCCATAAGCACTTCTGTTTCTATGCATATGTCTGCATAGATTGTGGTGCTTGACTTACGGTTTTACAGGTTTGGATCTTCTCCGTCCTTGAGCACGCACAACAACTTTTTTGTGGTACCAGGTTTCTTAGCTGATTTTTTGTATATATCTGATGCATAACCGTCTGTTAATTAATACACGATCCACCATCATTTGTCCCTATTCAACATGATCAAATAATCAGTTTATCCATATTCTTCTCCTTTCCTTTCCTTTTTGTTCGTTTACTACTACGGGTAATGGGCTTATGATTTTGTGCAAATTTCTGCTTTTTGTTCGTTTTATTTCCCTAATTGTATTATTTTAAATCGAAGAAAAAATATAATTGCAACAGAAATAGTCGATCAATTGCTTGCAACAAACCTATGTTCACTGCAATTGAACTGTATGTGAGAGATTTTGAGAGAGAGATGAATTGAAGTGTTAGTGAACCACGTGTAGGGAATTGATTGATCCCTCCTTCATGTACTGTACACCCTCACCATCCTCTGTGTTTGTATTTATTGTGATACTTCTTTTACATTTTTTTATTTCCCATAAACTAAAAATCCTAAGACCGCTGATTATGTTTGCTAAAATTCATATGTTATTGTTTGTTTGAGAGTGGAATGTCTCATATTTGTTTTGGTTTGGCACAATATCCATTCTCAGCGTGCTGCTTTTTGAGCTTGCATTCATCATGGTATTTTTCGTCTACACAACATGACACATTTTTTATCTTTTATGATTTCAATGTTTTTGTTTAAAGGATTACTATGGAGTTTTGCTGCGTTTTCTGTGAAATTATGAAAACAATATCCTGTTATATGCATTGAAATGTTGAAATTTGTTGTTGCACGTAGATTTGTTCAGTTTGCACCAGATGTGGGTCCTTTCCGATGTGTATGGATTCAGTCATATCATGGAGCGCAAGGAGTTGTGGTTTAGCATGAAGAAAAACTACAAGAAGAAACGAAAGGGCTCAATCGGAGCATAAGTCTCATGCTAACGGAATTTTTTCCTATCCAAAACATTAATTTAATATTTTATTTGTTGTTGCACGTAGATTTGTTCAGTTTGCACCAGATGTGGGTCCTTTCCGATGTGTATGGATTCAGTCAAGAAAATAACAATTTTTTTTTTTGCACCCCGGAAAAAATTAAAACACCAATGAAAAATGAAATTGCCTATAAGTCTCATGCTAACGGAATTTTTTCCTATCCAAAACATTAATTTAATATTTTATGGTTATCATTACGAAGAGCGGAACAATAATTTTTTTTCGCACTTTGTCCGCTCGAAATTAGATTGGAGGTTCAAGAAAATAACAATTTTTTTTTTTGCACCCCGGAAAAAATTAAAACACCAATGAAAAATGAAATTGCCTTTATTATTCAATTCATGGTGCATTGTGAATAATTTATTGTGTTTTGAGGGTGCAAAGTGCTATTATTATTTTTCGAGGGTGCAAAGTCCAAAATGGTATATTTCAAGAGTGCAAATTGTAATTAAGCCTATTTCTATCCATCTACAACTTCATTAATTTTTTTTATAATTAAAAAATATAAATTTTGCCACAGCTAAATTATGAGATATAGATGGTTTTGTTTTGAGATCTACTACATGGATTTGTACACTTTGTCACGACTTCTCCACATATTAATTTTGATGGTGTTGAAAAATAACGGAGCAAGATATGACAAATGAAAATATGTTGTACTTCGACAAACTATACAATCTCAAGTTTATTTGCTCAATTATGAAAACTATTGTTAATTGTATTGACCAAGTTCTCAATATTATGTATCCATCTTCTTACGATGTTTTTATGTTATGTGATCTGTTCTCAATTATTTCATTTCAATGTATTCGATATACTAAGTTTTAAATATTTTTTTTTTGTTTTGTTTTGTAATGGTATCCCGTGCAACGCACGGGCATGGTTACTAGTTTTATCAAATATTGGATATTGTCATTTATTTTTGCTAACCTAAAAATAAAATAAAATCAGGAACAAAGTAGTTACAACTTAGGCCATCTCCAACAGTTGTTTAAAAATCGGTTGTCTATATCTATAATTTAAGAGACGAACAGTGTTATGCAACACCACTTTTAACATCACACTCCAACAACATTATTTATATTTTACACAATTATCATATTTTATTATTTTACAAAAAAATTAGTTTTGAATTAATTTTAACAATTATAATTTTAATTTCAAATACATACATATATCTTGTTTTAGATTTTTACTCGGAAACTTGTTTGGAATTAAAATATATTGCAAAGGATAATTTAATGTTATATATACATATATTAAAAAAAAAAAAGAAACACTCTTTATTTTATAAATAAAAATCATACATGGAAACATATATGTGAATAATAGCAAAATAATTATTATATTTAATATATAAAAAATAGCACTGATGGAATTTTTATTATGGTTTCTTTGGAGATGGGAAGTGTTAAGCAGAACTCGCGTGATTCGGATGATGGTGGTGGTGATCGGTTGGCTTCTAAGGTTAGTGGATTTTATTAACTTTTTTGTCTGCAGGATAGAATTGTAATTATATGAATTTGGACGAGGGTACTAATGAATTTGCAAAGTGTATTTAAACCCAGATTTTTCTATAGTTAGCTTCTATTTGTTGTTTCCTTGTAGGAGTAAACTTCATATAGATTATTTACCTTAATTAGGCATTATAATTTTAGGGATGAACTTGAGATATCTACGGCAATAGGTCTATATGGAGTATCAAAATTAAGGAAATTTTAATTAGTTCCTAAATTCTTATCATAAAATCGTAATTAATAAATAAATTTAAATAGTAAGTCTGTGATATGTAAATATTTAAGCTGTATTAAATATATGAAAATTGGACATCAAAATTAGTAGTGGAAATAAAAAGAGGTCTAAGTATATGGGGAATTATATACTAAACCAATTTATTTAACTCGAATATTTGGTAATTGTACATATAAACATTCATCCAATATAAAATAACCGCAAATTAACAGTGACCGGGTGTAAATAATGGGACTTTCTTATTGGTCCAAAAGAAAAGGAGCATCCACATATTTTATTTTTGACTTGAGAAAAAGTCGGAAGAGAAACACAATTGCCCTAGTCAATTCTGAGTCATTAGCATCTCTCTCACACACATACACACACTTTCTCTGTCACATATACACGCACGAAATAATAATATTTCCATATAGACAACCCTAAAATTAAAACAAATTCACTTAATAAATACAAGACCCCTTTTTCTAAAAGGCTCATTCACTCTCTCTCTCTCTGAAATCTCTCTCTCTCTACAATAAACAATTCCAATATGGCTCTTGATCGGTCTTTGAATTGTAGCGCCGTCGTGGGGTCGTGGAAGAAATCATCGAGGCGATCGAAGCGATGGTGTCAGTTAAAACTCGGAGCCGACGAGATTTTGGCCGCCCAAGGTCTCGTCATGCTCGCCAGAAGCGGCGGCGGTCCTTACCCATCTCCCCCCGCCGCCAATCACCTGATCACTGGAGAAGCCAAACACGGTGGTAACAAGCCTGCCATCTCCGCCGCCGCTTCACTCGACTTCAAGATATCTCAAGAATGGGTCCCTACTACGCCGTGCCCGCCGCCGGCCGTGCCCAAATCGTACAGGAGTTGCGCCGACTCCGGTAAGGGTTTCAATTCATACCAGGCGCTCGACAGAAACCCTGACGCCGTCATCCCCGCCATCCCCGCCGCCGCAATCGAAAGAAACCCATACGCCGTCATCCCCGCCGCCGCAATCGAAAGAAACCCATACGCCGTCATCCCCGCCGTCGCCGCCGCGTCCACCAGATGCACCTCCGGCATGAATCGGAGTGGTAATAAGCTTCACGAGTGCGAAATCTGCCACAAAACCTTCACATCGGGACAGGCTCTCGGCGGCCATAAGCGCAAGCACTATGAAGGCGTCATCGGCGCCGGTTCTAAAAAGAGCCGGAAAACCTCCTCAAACGGCGGCGCAGCCACCCAAAAGATGATCCGGGATTTTGACTTGAACCTGCCGCCGCCGCCTGATGATCAAGATTTCAAGTTTTAATGAATTGAACAAGAAGTGGAAAGTGCTGTGCCGCCACCTTTATACGTATGAAAAATATCTTTAAAATATTTTTTTCTGGAGTCACATTACTTAGGATTCTGTGTATACTTTTATATATTCATTTAAATTCAATGAATTAATTTTTCAATGCCTATTTTCATATTCTTTATCGTTCTTGAATTTAGTTTTTTTTTTAATACCAAAAGTAAAATTTTATTGAATCAACATGTACGAATAATATGGTATGCCGATTATTTCCGAAAATTAGAAAAACCTAACCTATATCGGAAAATAAAACGCTTAACAAAGGCCACGTTATTGCAAGTAATATAATGAAAGGAACGATGATAAGAATAAACAAACTTTGCCAACTGATTTAGCTACTCGATTCTGCTATATGATTAAATTTTCCAATGCGGACGTACCAACTTTGTTCCAAGGGTTTCCAAAAAACCCCTGAGTTATGGTCAAATTACAAAAAAAAAACCCCTCTTGTTTAGATAATTACATCTACCCCCTTAATTATGATTTTTTCTTATACCTCCACCCTTATGGTGCCAAATTCAACATAATCATCTAGATTCCGTGGAACATATGTACTCTAGTTTGTACTCATTTTGTGTAAAAATACAGTTTCCGATGCACCACAAACTGATATGTACAAGCTAAAAATCACATATTATGATCATCTTGCTTCATAATGTAGACTTTGAATGGGATAAAACGAGTACAAAAGTGATAATATTCCATATAATCTCGAAGATTCCACTAAATTTGAGGAGTTGAGGGGGTGGTTCTAATTACCCAAACAAGAGGGGTGTTTTTGTAATTTGACCATACCTCAGGGGGTGTTTGTAATTTACCCTATAATTTATTTCCCTCTGCTCAAGTATGAGGTTGATGAATAGCTAACTAGACAACCTCAACAGAAAATTAACATTGTTGTGGTTGTCAGTAATATTACTGTATTTAAAGTAATTTTAATGTCATTACAATAGTAGACAGTAATATTATTACGTTGAGCGATCACCAAATCAAACAAAATAAAAAATCCAAAAATAAATAATATTGATTGTGGATGATAGTAACATTATTGTGTTTACAATAATTTTACTGCCAACCACGGTAATATAACTATCAAACAGTCAGCGGGGTGCGGAACAAAAAGTTCAAAAAAATAAAATAAAAGTCAACGCCGAAAACCAGCGGCTGAAAAACAAAATTAGAAAACAAAATTGAAAAGAAAAGGTGAAAATTCATTTTTTTGGTTAAAATTTATAAAATTTGAGTTAAATTAGGGTTATATAAGGAATTGAGATTAACAGATTGGAGGTTATTTTGTCATAAACATTCAGTTTAGCTTTACTTATATGATCACATGTTAAGAGGATGCACTTATTGACGAAAAATATATAACACGTGAATCTAAAATAATAAAGGTGGTGGGTTAGAAACTTATGCATAAAAAACCCTTTAAATAAACTTGACCTATGATTATAATAAAGTAACACATAAATTCGAAAAAGAAAGGAGATGCATATGCATGAGGCGGGTACGAGACGGGTTTAGAAAGACATGCACCCCCTCTACTAGCAAAATTTATCACTCATACCAGCTTCGTACCCGTTCCGGGGGTGATTTTAATTTATTAAACCCGCCCCATACCCGTAATTTCTTTTATATAATTTTTTTAATTAAACTATCTTTAAAATTTAGTATCTTATAATATAAAAATATATAAAACTAATAAACATATATAAACGAGTTGGATAGGGGGGCGGATGAGGGTGCATATGATCAAAATCGTACCTGTCTCGTACTTGCTAGTCTCGTACTTGCTACGGGTGAAATTTTTAAAACCTTTACTCATCCCCAATCCTCACTTGTAGAAAATGATTTTTTACAACAATTTTTTTTGGCTGTAATAAAAGGTACATTTTACTACGGGATAACTTGGAGTCATAGTAAACGTTAGGATTTACGGTAGCAAAAACATATTTGCTACGGCCATTTACTGTAGCAAAATTTGTGTTGCGCCCGTATATGCGACGTAGCAAATTCGTAGAAAATGCATAGCAAATGCTTGTTTACTACAAATTAGGTACATTTGTGACGGTTAGTGATCGTTGTAAAAAGCTATATTTCTACTAATGCCCATTAGCTAACATAGCGGGACTTATCTAGTAAATCCAGAACAGGACGGCGCGCCGGCGCTGGATGGGTATATGTTGAGATGGGTTAAATTGTCATCTTTGAGTAATAGATTTTTGTACTAGTTATTAGTTTCTGTTTGTTGTTGCCTTGTAGGAGTTAACTCGATCTAGATTATTTACCTTAATTAGGCTCTATTATTTTAGGGATAAACTTGAGATATATATCTACGGAAATAACTCTATATAATATCAAAATAAATAAATAAATTCAAATTGTTAGTGTGTGAAATATATAGATATTTAATATGTATTAAATATATGGGGCTCTTTGAGGAAACTCTTCATTATTTCTTTTAATAAATAGAGGTCCAAAATATTTCTCTCAATTTGAGAAAAACTCACACCCATTTTCAGTCATTATTTTTTCAATTTTGTCCCCGCCCGCAACATCATCACTGCGTCACGCGCTGGTCATCAACAATTTTTTTTATTTTCTTATTTTCTTTTCGTTTTTTTTTGTATCAATTTTATTAATCGACTATGAAGCATAGTCGATTAAAAAAATTCTTTAAATGTTTTTTTAATTTTTCTTTTAAACTTTTTTTGTTTTTTTGTTTTTTTAACTTTTTTTTCACAGTTGATTAAGAATTTGCTACTAAAAATAACAAATCAAAACTGCAAAAAAAATGAAAAATCAACTATATTTTACAAAAACAAAAAATATAAGAACATTATATCTGATTTATACTATTGGAATTAATAAACAAAAAAAAAAAAAATTGGAGTCGATCAACCTTAATCGATTACCAGTATATAGTCGATTAAGAATCTGCTACTAAAAATAACAAATCACAACTTCAAAAAAAAAATGCCAAATCAACAACCTTTTACAAAAACAAAAAATATACATACATTATAATTGATTTATACAATTGGAAGCAATAAACAAAAAATCCAAAAAAAAAAAAACAGAGTCGATCAACCTTAATTTACTACCAGAGCATAGTCAATTAACTTAATCATCTATGGAACATGTACATAGTCGGTTAAGGTTCCAGCATGTGCGAATTTCTCTACACACGTCGTCCTCCGCCCGATCCACAAAAAAACCCTAAATCTGCCTCCCCATCGTCACCACATCGCCGCCACACCACACTATTCAACCAATTCATAACAAGAATAAAATAAATAATTCATACAAAAAAAACACAAATTAGCATTTCAATGTCCACAGAAAAAAAAACAGAAACGATTCAAGGTATTTGTCAACCATTGATGGTCACTCCATAAACAATCTCTGAGCACATGACAAACCAACACTAAAAAAACAATTAAAAAAATAAACAAACAAATACCTTCATCAACATCAATTGCAACAGTGATTTTCTCATGCCACATCCTCGTAGCTGTCAACCCACTGCGCCCTGGACGACGAGCGTCAGTCATCAGCTTCAACGTCGTCGATGGAGACCACCGCCGCCAACTACAGATCTGTCACCACCCATCACGCGGCGGCGGGAGGCGGCGACAAACACTCTTCCATCACCACCACCGTCGGTCGACGTCTTTCTTTTCCTCTGAATTTCAGTCGAGAAGAGAAGAGTGAAGAGAGAAGATGAGGAGATGAGAAAAGAAGAAGAGAGAAACGGCAAATGAAATGGGTTATGGCTTTGAAACGTTAAAATGAAATTTAATATAATAAGGATGGTTAGGAGATTATATATTAAAATGACATTTGAGTGGAATATAAGTTAAGGGGGTTTTTTCTAAATTTTTTTGAAAGGAGTGTTTCCTTAACATAGTTTCTTAGATGAGGGGGTTCATTTTCCCATTAAGTATATGAAAATTTGGGCATCAAAATTAGTAGTGGTAATAAAAAGAGGTCTAAGCATATGTGAAATTTATACTACACCGGGTAATTACATTGAGTATCTGTTAACCCTAAATCAGATTAACAGTTAACTGGTGTAAATAATGGAGCATTCATATATTTTATTTTTGACTTGGAAAGTAAAATTGCTCAAGTCAAGTCTGAGTAATTAGCATCTCTCTCTCACACACAAACACACACTTACTCTCTCACATATACACACACGCAATAATAATATTTCCATATAGACAACCCCAATGCAAAAACAAATCCTAATTAAAATCCAATACTAATAAATACAAGATCCTCTTTTCTAAAACCTCACTTTCTTTCTCTCTCTCTCTCAACAATCTCTGAAGAAAAATCTCTCTCTTTCTGTTGGGGTTTTTTAATAAAAATAATATTTTATTAAATATTTTCTTTGTCTAATTTATGAGGTAATTTTGACCAACATTTTGAAACATACAAAAACTTTATTTGCCTCATAAAACCTCCATAAATTTCCCTAATTCTATATTAAATATAGCGTTTATGATGACCTTATTTTACACTATAAAATGGTGGCTTAGTGGCTTGAGAAAATGTAAGAGTGAAGATAAAGAGTGAATGAAAAATGTCTTTCAAAAAGATCATATATTCTATACATATATTGAGCTCTTGTTGAGTGTCGGGTGTAAGCTTCTACTTCACTTGAACGTGCAATTTCGGTGAAGTTACAGCGGAGAGATAGGCTGGGCTGTTGTATCCCATAGGCGACACGATCGGAACCTTTTTGCACCTCATTAGAGAAGGGATCGTGAAATTCGTCTTAAGAGAGCGACCTAGTCCGCGCCTCACCTTGCCTATCTCCATATTATTGTGGTTGTTTATTGCAGCAACTTGTTACCTATAAAATTAGAGAACAAATGGATTCCAAGCCTCATCCACAAGTTTCGTGATCAATCGTCGAAGTGCAGCCGTGGTTCCAACAATTTAAGACGAAATTTCAATCCCATGAAGATGAGCTTTGACGATGATCTAAAAGAGCAACCTTTGATGATGAAAAGGGAGATGATTCATTTTTATTTATTATCTAGTGTTGACTAAACAAAATTAACGATCTTATTTTTGTGTAGGTGAATTTTCGTACAATTCACGAGTGCAGACTTTGAGTCAAATTTACGACCTTATATAATCATAATTTGAGGATTCGTAAAACACGAAAGTTGTAGGGATTTCGGTTGGCTGTCCGAAACAACTTGAATCGCTGAAATTGGACATCGAACGAGAGAGATATGCTACAAATACTGAGCATTGCCAAAGCTGTCAATTACGCGCGATTTTTTGACGAATAAAGAACATATAGGGTTCGACAAAGTTGATAATTGAAATTCATCAGATCTGGTATGTTCTTATTTTACACCGACTAATTATGATATTTTTTTAATGAAATTGCATGTGGTAATGATTTGAGATGTGAAAATTGAAATTTATAAGTAGTCTATTTTTGTTCATAAAAACTGATACACGTATTATGATTATATAAATTATTGATATTGCATATAATCTCTATGGATCATCATACTTTGATTAATTACCATCGCAATATGATAATTAGAATTCTTGTCAGAGGTTATAAATATTTATGCTGCTTAATTGCGTAATTAATATTTATTAGAAATATAATTGACCACTTAGTCATATCTGAGAGTTATCATTGTTGCTCGTATGTGCTAAGCGGCTAGCATTCTTAGTCAACGAACTAATCTATTTGTCCAAGTCCATTGATGAGAAAAGCTGGAGCCTTTTGCTCTTTGTGTGTATAGTTGAGGTTTCCTTTTAACGATAAAATGTTTTTTTTTTTTTTTTTTTTTTTTAATATTTTAATCAGTTTTTCAATTTCTCTGTTGTGACCGTCTATATCTCAAATTACTGTTAAATCAAAAGGGATTTTTAATTTATTTTTTGAATAATGAGAATATTGTTTTCTCTAATATTCTCGGTCTAAGGAGATCACCTGCCAATTAATTATTTCACAAGCGGCTTCAGTTATAAAATTGATTTTATACTACTTTATAGGTATGACCGTATGAGTAATTATTTGGTTAATGTGTGCTTAATTGCATTTAATCTTTGATGTTACCGTTAGTGCATTATTACCCAATGAATTGTCCTTTATGCATTGATTAAATTTAATTAATATATTATTTTTTGAAAAAAAAAAAATAACCGATTAAATTGACAATTAGTGGGGGTAATGGTAGTTATCTCTAATTGAGAATTGAACATGATCATAATTATTGAAATGTATCTTGATTCATGATTCATTATGTGGAGTTAATATTGTATGTGTTTAAATATCTTATATGTTGATCAATATGCTTTTAATATCGAGAAATAGTGGGGGTATTAGTAATAAATTTTAATTGCGAAATTGAGAATGATCAAAGTCAATACATTCTTTCTTGATTCATGATTCATTGGTATGCTTTTAGTATTGAGGAATAGTGGGGGTTTTTAGAGTCTACGTATATGAGCATGTTACAATTGAATTTGATGTGATTTATGTTAATTGCTCATCTTATGATTACAAATTATTCATAGTGATAGTGTGATAAATTATGCTTTATTTATCTTGAATATGCAAGTAGTTATTAAAGGCCTAATTTTACATATACGTGACATTGGTATAATTTAGAAAGGCCTAAGAGTATATATTAATTTGCGAAAATGAATTTGTGAGTTGTGAAGTGAAACGTTCTTTGAAAGTTTCAATATTGTTGATTATTGAAAATCTAAATAAGAGGAATTATATTCCTATTTGATTAGATTTATCACATTGTGCAAATGACTATTTGTTTATAATTTAAAAGTCAAAACTCATATCAATTTTGATTGATTATTTTGACATTAGCCTGTGAGGAGGCCAGTTGATACCGAATGTGGTATATAAAATCCTAATGTGGGATAGATCAATGCTTTGTGATTTGATAAATATGATTGAGAATAAATCAAATGCTTTGTGCTTTGATAAATATGATTGAGAAAAATCAAATGCTTTGTGCTTTGATAAATGAGATTGAAAAACTGCAGTTGGCATATTGCGAGAATCTTTTAATGGGAACCGGAACCATTAAAAGAAAATACAGTACTGTGAATCTATGTGAAAATTCACGCGAAAATTTAAGTGAAATTATATGTGAAATTATATGAGAAATGGTTAATAAACCATTGAGTCCATGAGACTAAATGTCGAATAAGCGCTATTAAAATTGTGAAATTATATTTCACATTATTTCAGAAATCATCTGAAATGCATCGAGGGGGATTGGGTGAAAGCCTAATATATTTTGTAAAGTTGTTGATGAGGATACTACCGCCTAGGGGCTAGAGATCCTACGAACTAGGCGAAGAAAAACGAATCTGAAAGCAACTTGATAGTGATAAAAGTGCACACTTTTATTATCCATCCCTATGGTGCGTGTGCACTAATAAAGCTCGTAACGAATTGTGAGGTTGAGACTTTGATCTCTTAATGAGTTCTATAGCCCGGACGGTGGGGTGTTGGAGTTACGTAAACATCCTTGATAGAATTCACCTTGTGAGTGTGGAAGTGGGGCCGCTTCCTATGAGAATTAAGGCTGTTCTCTAGAGCTCTCACGAGAAATGGGGTAAAGCACATGGCCGTTAATGTGTTGGCTTTAGAAGCTTCGATCGGGACACTTTGAGTATTATGTGTGCAATATGATTCTACGTGCCCCAAGGGTCACTGTTTCAAGGCTAAGTCCACTTTGATTCTAGTACGGGAAACATATTGTACTAAGTGAAGGTTTCAAGGCATTGCTCACTTTCATTATGCATAATATTCCGCAAGAGCTCAAGTATTATTATTTTTATTAAAATAGTGGGGGATTGTTGGGGTTTTTTAATAAAAATAATATTTTATTAAATATTTTCTTTGTCTAATTTATGAGGTAATTTTGACCAACATTTTGAAACATACAAAAACTTTATTTGCCTCATAAAACCTCCATAAATTTCCCTAATTCTATATTAAATATAGCGTTTATGATGACCTTATTTTACACTATAAAATGGTGGCTTAGTGGCTTGAGAAAATGTAAGAGTGAAGATAAAGAGTGAATGAAAAATGTCTTTCAAAAAGATCATATATTCTATACATATATTGAGCTCTTGTTGAGTGTCGGGTGTAAGCTTCTACTTCACTTGAACGTGCAATTTCGGTGAAGTTACAGCGGAGAGATAGGCTGGGCTGTTGTATCCCATAGGCGACACGATCGGAACCTTTTTGCACCTCATTAGAGAAGGGATCGTGAAATTCGTCTTAAGAGAGCGACCTAGTCCGCGCCTCACCTTGCCTATCTCCATATTACAAATGGATTCCAAGCCTCATCCACAAGTTTCGTGATCAATCGTCGAAGTGCAGCCGTGGTTCCAACACTTTCTCTCTCAACAATTCCAATGGCTCTTGATCGGTCTTTGAATTCTGCGCCGCCGCTCAAGAACGCCCGCCATTTCGACTTTCTTGATCTACCTAGCAGCAGCGCCGTCGTCGGATCGTGGAAGAAATCATCCAGGCGATCTAAGCGACGGTGGCAGATTAAACTGGGAGAGGACGAGCTTTCCGCCGCCCGCCTCGTCATGCTCGCCCGAACCGGCGGCGGTCCTTACCCATCTCCCCCCGCCGCAGCCGCAGCCAGTCCTTCCACCGAAGAGAGCAAACACGATGGTGATAACCCTGTTTGTCCCGTACCCATCATCTCCGCCGCCGCTTCACTCCATGTCAAGATATCTCAAGAATCGGTCCCAACTACGCCGTCTCCGCCGCCGGCCGTGCCCAAATCGTACAGGAGGTGCGCCGACTCCGGTAAGGGTTTCAATTCATACCAGGCGCTCGGCGGCCACAAAGCCAGCTGCTGCCTGAAGCCAACAACCGCCGCTGCAATCGACAGAAACCCCTACGCCGTCATCCCTGCCGTCGCCACCGCGTCCACCAGATGCACCTCCGGCATGAATCGGAGTGGTAAGATTCACGAGTGCGAAACATGCCAGAAAACCTTCACATCGGGACAGGCTCTCGGCGGCCATAAGCGCATGCACTATGAAGGCGTCATCGGCGCCAGATCTAAAAAGAGCCGGAAAACCTCCTCAAACGGCGGCGCAGCCACCCAAAAGATGATCCGGGATTTTGACTTGAACCTGCCCCCGCTGCCTGATCAAGATTTCGAGTTTTAATGAATTCAAGAAGTAGTGGAAAGTGCTCTGCCGCCACCTTTATGCGCGTATAAAAAGAATATGTCTTTAAAATATTTTTCTGGAGTGTTAATTGATTGTTCCATACTATTTAGGATTTTTGTGTACTTTTATTTACTTAAATTCAATGAATTCTTCTATGTCTCCTTTCATATTCTTTTATTTGTTCTTAGTTTTTTTAAGTATAAATAGTATTTTGCCACTCGTATGTTGCCTGTTTTTGTACATTGTCTCTTTAACAAATAAAAAGCTTGTACGGGTACGCACACACTCGTTATTTCAAGTTACTTAACCACTTATGTTGAATTTTCAGGCGAATATTCGAGTATGATCCGGCGCATGCGCGAGACACAATGCTACGTCCATGGATTTTTTCGTCTTTACATAAGTATCTTATGATATCATATGTGGGTGAAATCGAAAATTCTAAGGACATAATTGAACTTAATTGAAACTTAAGGACTCGATTGAATTTAATTTGAAACTTATCCAAACTAGAAATTGATTGAAATGAAGCTGGTTCTTCTTTTTCTCTTCCATGTGAGTTTCTCCCCCAGTAATGTTTTCTTTAAACTAACAATATCCTTTGAGAAAATCGAAGCCTTAAAAAAGAAGGGTGACATCTATTCATGTGCATCAAAATTCTTGGAGACAAATAGAAAGAGCCTTTTGGAATAAGAGAAAGGAAGAAGGGGCCCGGCGACGGGAGGCCATAATCGGTGAGACTAGTTACGGCGGACAAAAATAAAAAGGTCAGTCATTCTATGATTATAAGAAGATAAGTTTATCTTTTCATCAGCACCACTATATAAATGGTTTTAATTGATAAATTTCTTTGCCCCTTCATTTTATTAAACCACCTAGACTTTTTAAGTTTTTGCGGATCATTACGTAAATAATTTTTTTTACACGAATTCATGTGTACTCAATTAATTGTGTCACTTTGTCATTTTTTACCGGTTTTCAGGTCAAATGACTGGCTCTCAACCCATGTGCGTTGCACATAACAAATCCAAGGCTATTGACGTCTTTTTCATTTTTAAAATAGAATTAATATTAAATAGAATAAATAAATAAGAAAAACTTCTTCGTCTTCTTCTCAATCCCAGCAACCCATTAAGTAAATTAATGTAATATTATTATTTTTTATTTTTTTTATTATTTTTTTTTGTTTGATTTGCTGACAAGTCAACGTAATTATATTACTGTCGTTGACGGTAAAATAACTGTAAACACAATAATATTACTGTCAACAACATCAATATTATTATTTTTTTGGGGTTTTTGTATTGTTTGAATTATTCACGGAGTAACGTAATAATATTACTGTCTATTATTGTAATATTACTGTAAACACAATAATATTACTGTGGTTGACGGTAATATTACTGTTGTTATAGTAATATTGCTGTCAACCACATCAATATTATTATTTTGTTTGGTTTTTTTTTTGTTTGAGTTATTCACGGAGTAACGTAATAATATCACTGTCTATTATTGTAATATTACTGTGGTTGACGGTAATATTACTGTTGCTATAGTTAGGGCTGAGACTGGGTTGGGTCGGTCGATTACCAGCCTAACAACCGACCCATCCGTCAAACCATTTTTGCTCAAATTAGAAAACCGTTGCCGACCCAACCTTTGTGGGTCGGTTGATGGTTGGCAACCGAATATTTGGTTCCGGAATGGGTTGGTTGATAGTCTATACCCGCCACCTAGTTCACTTAAAAAAAAATCAAATTTTGGAGTAAAAATATCCAAATTTTGTGTCAAGCCACGGTGCGATCATCATTTATCAGTTCAAAATAATTAATAACAATTTAACGAAAAAATATAATTAAGAAATTCAAAGTAATTTCAAACAAGCACAAGAGATTTAGTGAAGTTTTGTGGGCTTTTTGTTTAAGTTTGGGCATAAAGAAACTGGTTGAAGATTTAGGTCAATTTTTTTTTCTTTGTTGATTGTTTTAAAATTTAGAATACTAATTATTTTGATGATTTCAATAACCACTTAAGAAAACACTGCATTTATTTTATATTTTTAATAAAATTTTAATAGTATAGTTGGATAACCGATAATTATCGGTCAACCAACTTTTGATAATATTAGAAACCATCAACCGACCCATTATAGATGGGTTGTTTAAAATTTTCGACCCGATCCAATGGGTTGGTTAAAAATTGATTATCCGCCTAAAAATATGGTCGGTACTGGATCGGTTGGTGGATAAAAACCAATCCAGTCCCAGCCCTAGCTATAGTAATATTACTGTCACTCACAGTAATATTAATTCTTTTGTTTTTTTTTATTATGTTTACATTTGTTGAACGGTCAACATAGTAATATTACTTTATTACACAATAATAGTGAGTTTTGTTGTGTTAATATTAATGTGCTAGAGATTAATATTGCAATATTACTGTGTGAAACTATAGTTTAGTTAATTTTACTGTGTTTAACAGTAATATAGTTAATATTACTGTCAATCACAACAATATTGCTGTTTAAACGGAAAAAAAAAAGTTACAGAAAAAAAAGAAAAGAAGAAAAAAAAAAGAAAAAAAATCAAAAAAGTCAACGCCGGAATCCGGCGAAAAAATCCGGAAGAAAGAGAGAAAAAAAAAGTTGAAAAGTCAACGCCGGAGACCGGCGGGAAAAAAATTCTTTTGAAAAAAAAAAGTTTTGGGTCAAAATTGAATAATTTGTGAAATTTGGGGTTAAATTGAAGTTAAATTAAGTTAAGGATGAAATTGGAGCATATTAAAGTATGAGGGGTTATTTTAGTCCTTTACAAAAATCTGGACCATGTGTGGACTTATTGGTAAAAGAGATTTTTATCTGGATCTCTTTATGAATAAATAACCATTGATGGGCTTATTTGTAATATGCCCTATTAAATATCGATATATCACACACTAACAATTTGAATTTATTTATTTATTTATTACGATTTATGACAATAATTTAGGAACTACAAATTACTTTAATTTTGGATATTATATATAGAGTTATTTCCTTAGATATATCAAGTTCATCCCTAAAATAATAGAGCCTAATTAAGGTAAATAATCTAAATGGAGTTAACTCCTACAAGGAAACAACAAACATAAGATAACTAGTTGAAAAATCTATTTTACCCAAATACTATATTGGTTTACATCCCATTTAACCCGTCCCAGCAGATACCAATCCCGCGCTATCCTGTCCTGGATTTACCAGGTAATCCTCGCTTTGTTAGCTAATGGGCAATAGTAGGAAAATGACTTTTTACTATTATTGTTAACCGTAGCAAATGTACCTAATCCGTAATGAACAGGCTTTTGCTACGCATTTTTGATGAATTTGCCACGTCGCATATACGGGCGTGACAAAAACTTTGCTACAGTAAATGACCGTAGCAAACATTTTTTATGACCGTAGCAAACATTTTTTTCCTACCGTAAATCCTAAAATTTACTATGATTCCAATATTATCCTGTAGTAAAATGTATCTTTTATTACGGCTTTTTACCATAGTAAAAAAAATCGTAGTAAAAAGCCATTTTCTACGTACAAGTGAAGACCGGGGATTGGTACAGGATTTAAAAATTTCACCTGTAGCAGGTATGGGGCGGGTACCGATTTTGATCATATGCACCTTATTCGCCCCCTATCCAACTCGTTTATATATTTTTATATCGTAAATTACTAAGTTTTAAAGATAGCTAAATTAAATAAATTATATAAAACAAATTACGGGTATGGGGCGGGTTTTATTCGGGGTGGGGGCGGGTTTACTAAATTAAAATCAAATCTGGAACAGGTACGAAGCGGGTACGGGTGATAAATTTTGCTAGTGGAGCAGGTGCATATCTTTCAAAACATGTCCCGTTTCCACCCCATGGACATCCCTACATATGCATCTCCTTTCTTTTTCGAATTTATTTGTTCACTTTATTATAATGACAAGTCTAGTTTATTTAAAGGATTTTTTATGCATAAGTTTTTGACCAACCACTTTTATTATTCTAGATTCACGTGTTATATCTTTTTCTTCAATAAACGCATCCCTTTAACAGGTGGTATAAGTAAAGGTAAACTGAATGTTTATGAAAAAATAACCCCCAATCTTTTAAACTCAATTCTTTATGTAACCCTAATTTAACTCCGCTTTTATAAATTTTGACAAAAACAATCAATTTTGACTTTATCTTTTCAATTTTGTTTTTCCCCCAATCTTTTAACTCAATTCTTTATGTAACCCTAATTTAACTGCACTTTTATAAATTTTGACCAAAAAAATCAATTTTGACTTTTTCTTTTCAATTTTGTTTTTCAGCCGTTGGTTTTCGGTGTTACTTTTATTTTATCCTTTTTGAACTTTTTCTTATGTTTGAAATTTCCGGACCCCAGCTGACCGTTGATAGTTATATTACCTAGTTATATTATTATTGTTCGACCGCACCCAAATCCAAATATGGTACGTACGGACGAGCGAGCCAGACGGATAGGCCTTTCTCTTAAACAAAGTTGTATGCCCAAATGGCGTAACCCTTAGTCCCAACATTGAGATATATAAATAGCTCAGTACTTCTCTACTTTTCCAATGTCGTTGGATAACTCAAAATCCCACTTTCCTTATATTTTGGACTAGTAATTTTTCATTCACCACAAAATTGGTTTTATACTAATCTAATCCAAAAATTGATTTATATAATCAATTAAACCATACAATAACATTAATAAAAATTGTTCAGACTCAATTTTTAACCTATTTTCCCACAATATACTAGCAGAATCGAGTAGCTAAATCAGTTGACAAAGTTTGCTTATTCTTATCGTCGTTCCTTTCATTGTATTACTTGCAATAACGTAGGCTTTGTTAAGCGTTTTATTTTCCTATATATGTTAGGTTTTTCTAATTTTCGGAAATAATCTGCATACCATATTCATGTTAGACCAAACAAGGTTTTAATCAAGTCCTATGTATTCGTGGCATACCATATTCCTGTTAGACCAAACAAGGTTTTAATCAAGTCCTATGTATTCGTACATGTTGATTCAATAAAATTTTACTTTTGGTATTAAAAAAAAAACTAAATTCAAGAACGATAAAGAATATGAAAATAGGCATTGAAAAATTAATTCATTGAATTTAAATGAATATATAAAAGTATACACAGAATCCTAAGTAATGTGACTCCAGAAAAAAATATTTTAAAGATATTTTTCATACGTATAAAGGTGGCGGCACAGCACTTTCCACTTCTTGTTCAATTCATTAAAACTTGAAATCTTGATCATCAGGCGGCGGCGGCAGGTTCAAGTCAAAATCCCGGATCATCTTTTGGGTGGCTGCGCCGCCGTTTGAGGAGGTTTTCCGGCTCTTTTTAGAACCGGCGCCGATGACGCCTTCATAGTGCTTGCGCTTATGGCCGCCGAGAGCCTGTCCCGATGTGAAGGTTTTGTGGCAGATTTCGCACTCGTGAAGCTTATTACCACTCCGATTCATGCCGGAGGTGCATCTGGTGGACGCGGCGGCGACGGCGGGGATGACGGCGTATGGGTTTCTTTCGATTGCGGCGGCGGGGATGACGGCGTATGGGTTTCTTTCGATTGCGGCGGCGGGGATGGCGGGGATGACGGCGTCAGGGTTTCTGTCGAGCGCCTGGTATGAATTGAAACCCTTACCGGAGTCGGCGCAACTCCTGTACGATTTGGGCACGGCCGGCGGCGGGCACGGCGTAGTAGGGACCCATTCTTGAGATATCTTGAAGTCGAGTGAAGCGGCGGCGGAGATGGCAGGCTTGTTACCACCGTGTTTGGCTTCTCCAGTGATCAGGTGATTGGCGGCGGGGGGAGATGGGTAAGGACCGCCGCCGCTTCTGGCGAGCATGACGAGACCTTGGGCGGCCAAAATCTCGTCGGCTCCGAGTTTTAACTGACACCATCGCTTCGATCGCCTCGATGATTTCTTCCACGACCCCACGACGGCGCTACAATTCAAAGACCGATCAAGAGCCATATTGGAATTGTTTATTGTAGAGAGAGAGAGATTTCAGAGAGAGAGAGAGTGAATGAGCTTTTAGAAAAAGGGGTCTTGTATTTATTAAGTGAATTTGTTTTAATTTTAGGGTTGTCTATATGGAAATATTATTATTTCGTGCGTGTATATGTGACAGAGAAAGTGTGTGTATGTGTGTGAGAGAGATGCTAATGACTCAGAATTGACTAGGGCAATTGTGTTTCTCTTCCGACTTTTTCTCAAGTCAAAAATAAAATATGTGGATGCTCCTTTTCTTTTGGACCAATAAGAAAGTCCCATTATTTACACCCGGTCAGTGTTAATTTGCGGTTATTTTATATTGGATGAATGTTTATATGTACAATTACCAAATATTCGAGTTAAATAAATTGGTTTAGTATATAATTCCCCATATACTTAGACCTCTTTTTATTTCCACTACTAATTTTGATGTCCAATTTTCATATATTTAATACAGCTTAAATATTTACATATCACAGACTTACTATTTAAATTTATTTATTACTTACGATTTTATGACAAGAATTTAGGAACTAATTAATATTTCCTTAATTTTGATACTCCATATAGACCTATTGCCGTAGATATCTCAAGTTCATCCCTAAAATTATAATGCCTAATTAAGGTAAATAATCTATATGAAGTTTACTCCTACAAGGAAACAACACTAGTAGAAAAATCTGGGTTTAAATACACTTTGCAAATTCATTAGTACCCTCGTCCAAATTCATATAATTACAATTCTATCCTGCAGACAAAAAAGTTAATAAAATCCACTAACCTTAGAAGCCAACCGATCACCACCACCATCATCCGCTTAACACTTCCCATCTCCAAAGAAACCGCCTCCACCGCCGGAGCGTTGTCGACAAACGGTCCCAGGCCATTTTGTAATCTCCACCACCGATGGGGGTGATTAAAGTTAACGTTGACGCAATTTTTTCCGCGAGGTAATGATCACTATTACACATCTATGGTTACTAATGATTCACAAGGTCAAAGTGTGTGGTAGAAGAATTTTCGGCATCTTGGCCGAGTGTTACCTGCCGAGGGGGAAGCTCGGGCCGTTTTACAAGCTTACTCTTATCGCGTTAAGCTTCGGATGGCCTGGCATTATTATTGAGGGTGATTGTCTCCCGGTGATCGATTGATGCGCTTAATGGCTCAGGTTCTTCACTTACTTCATTCGGCGCTATTACGGAGGCGGTTTTAGCTCGCTCTTTTCTCTTTCTCTTCTATTTCCTTTCCGTTTGTAAAGCGTGATGCCAATAAACTAGCTCACGATATTGTTTCACGTGAGACTTTAGATTCTTTGGAGGGTGTGACCCTCCACTGTTTCTGACAATGGGTCCCTAATATAATTATGTTTTCCCGTTAAAAAAAAAAGTATAAACTATGTGTTACAAATTAAACCTAAAAGATATTACTAAATGAATTCAAACTCAAGTCATTATTTGACTTCTCATTCTCTTGCTCAATTTTGTATTTTTTAAATAAATGTAAATAAACCTTGAAAGAAAAATAAAATAATATAAAATATGGTAAATTTCACTTTTCCCCATTTACTTGGCTCGGTATTACTTTACCTTCTTCTACTCTCGATTGTATCGATTTTCCCAAGTGTATATAGTGATTCTTGGAGGATTCTATAAAATTTTCTAAAATCCTCCCTTTGTAGATATTTTGTAGAAATACTTTGGAGTGTATGTTCTAGTGAACAACTCCTAGCTGGTAGATCAAATAGATCTCCACCGCCCATTAAGGAGGTGGCCTAGTATAAATAGAAGTAGAGACTTCATTTGTAATCATCCAACAAAAAATCTAAAAAATCCAAGACATTCAAGCAATACAAGTACTTTCCTACAAAGTTTCTAATCTTATTAAGTTCTTTGTTCATTTTCCATCACTTAGCATTCGCACCACATTCGGGAGATGCTGACTTAGCTATCGCTAGGGGCGAGAAGAAGCTAAGGCCTCACGGTTCGTCGTTCATGGAACAATTCCGTGACAAGTGGTATCAGAGCCCGGCTAGGGCTTATTGTTGATCCAATTCTCAAGCGATCAAGAGCCATTGAAATTGTTTATTGTATATAGAGAGAGAGAGTTTTCTTCAGAGATTGTTGAGAGAGAGTGAGGTTTTAGAAAAGAAGATCTTGTATTATATAGTGGTATTTATTAAGTGATGGTGAAGATTAATATTGGATCTTAATTAGGATTTGTTTTAGGTTCTGTATAAGGAATATAATTATTTAGTTTACTCTTGCAATAAATAAATGAAAAACAAATTTTTTTTTAGACCAATAAGAAAGCCTGAATTAATTATCAACTTATCATCCCCACGTACTATTTATATTATTCATATTATTACCATTTAAATTAAAGAAACTAATAATACAATTCCAAAAAACTAAACAACAATTTCGAAAATAAAATTGTATTGCAATATATCGTACCATTTCACATACAAATTAAATTGAAACTTACATTAAAATTAAACTACATAATATATAAATACAAAGTCCTTCCTTTAGTGGAGCAATATCCTTCTCACAATCTTCTTTGTACTTCAATGGATAAGTAAAATGTAGCAATTCTATTTCCAACCATTGCTTCAAATGATGGAACGGGAGTTCTCGAAAAATTGTCTAACTTCTTAACTTTTTAACAACCTGAAAATTAAAGATTTGTGACGTTAAATAACCGAACAAGTACCTTAGAGTGTTCTGAAATTTAATGAATTCTAACTTTTCACCATGGAAATTATTGAGCGGAATATGCAAATACTAACATGAACTTAAAGCAATCAAGTTGTAGTACTATTACCTGAAGACAAAGATGCACCTTTGCACGGAAACTTTTCCTTTCAAGCAATATGAACTTAAACGGAATCAAGCTGCAGTAATAAGGATACAGTCTACACAACCAAAGATACTCGTATAGCAACTTTATCATATTGATCAATAATTAGTATATTGTATAATGAATACGAAAAGTATAAGAAATCTGAAATCCATACAAACCGTACAATGAAGAGAAACCTTGACTAAGAAAGTGATTGGTTCTACTCAATCCATCCCGCTAAAGGCTCATTCCTTGCTTGTTATTCTGCAAAGGGAAAATCAATAATTAGACAACTATACTTACACACTAGCTCATTCCTTGCTTGTTATTCTGCAAAGGGAAAATCAATAATTAGGCAACTATACTTACACACTAACTTTATGCATAGTAAGTTAAATCTTAGAAAGGAACCAAGGTGCATGCCCCTGACAACACCACCATAAGTGATTTTGATTTTGTAGCAGAGGAGAAATCCCATAGTGTTGTTCTTCCTGCAAAAAGAACCAGAGATGACATTAATTAAAACTATTATCTAAAATTTTGTGTTAGTTAAAATGAATTTTGGTGTTACACAGGCGATTCAGATTGAATTATAATCAATTCATCACCCGCTGACATGCACAAACACTTTTCGGGGCATATAGAGTTTAGCAAGAAACTCACAATTGAAGAATTATCATGCTTGCGGCTTTTGTCTTTACGTTTCCCACTCAACTTGTTATCTGAAGCAAGAAATTCGAATTGGTTAAAATTTCAAGGCCACCATAACAAGTAATGAAAATGAAAAATAATTTAATATGGAGCAGAATATCCCAATCCAAAAATATACTTATTAGCACAGTTACTAATTTTCCTAAGCAAAATGTGAGATAATTTAGAACAAACACAAATCCACGTTGAATGCCCAAGCTAATATAGACTAAGTCTCCTTCAATTTAAAATTGCCAAACAAGTCGGAAACTTTACAACAATCCAAGACCTGAATTCCATTTAAAGATTTGTAAATCTTTACCAACTTTCAAACCTTCCTGCAATTTCAAGAAAATTCTAATTATATAAATAACCCCATTCGATGAATACGCAGTCGAGTAAAGGCAGCAACATATATACCTTAGCTACATATTTAGCAATTGCAATGTTTATCACTTTCTTAATAACTTGGTGGTACACTTTCGACGGGCCTAGAATTTCCAAAAGAATCTCTTTCGGTATCTGCAAGAAGGTATATTCTACATTAGGGAAACGAAAAAAAAATTATTTCTACATTTTGGCGAAAACTTTATCATATATTTCTTGCGTTTTGGTTCCGGAAACCTCTACAGTGATCTGCAAAGAAACCATGAGAAAAAAAACCCGAAAAGAAAGAAGTCATTACAAACTATCAACATAATGAGAAAACTATTACAGTATTCACTACCTTTAGTTTGTCGTCTTTGTCAGAAGATGTGGCTGTAAAACTGAACTCTTTAACCGAAGAAACTTCGACGCCATCGACACCTGGTGTAACAGCACAATCCAAAGGAGTCATTAGTTCCAAAAAGAACATAGAATATTATCTAGCAATTAATTGCATAATCGTCGCTCGTTTTTGCACCTGATACGACAACAGCCCATACGCCTGCATTTGCAGTACTCCTGCATTAGAGAAAGCATCGGTAACTAATCAATGCGGAGATATCACATATTTTCACAGTTGAAGTTAACAATCAACATTAGTTACGGAAAAAACAACTCGATATTTACATCGATTTCGACTCGACTCATCTAACAGACAACAATCAATTTTCTTACATTCAGAGTCTGAAAGAGAGTACCTTTGCAGAAGTTGGTGTGTAGTGAATCCCATCTTAAGAGAGAAGCATCTTCCTTTGGGAAATCGACAAGGCACAAACACATCTGCAAATTGCCTCTCACTTGCGATAACCAGTTTAGTCAATCAATCATAATCTCAGATTTCTTATTTCAAATGTAATGAAAATTATAGATAAACCCATCAATCTGAAGCTGTAAATTAAGGATAGAAATTGCCCAATCTTTATCAAATTATCTACAACAAAGAAGAAAACCAAATCGAAATTAAACAGACTGCAAATGAAAAATCATTACCTTGGAATTTGAATAAGAGAAACAGGCGCATGTATTAACGGTTAACATTTCGCCTACCCCCTCTGTTCTTTCTTCTTTAGCCTACACCCTCTGTTCTTTCTTCTTTATCTTCGTACCGTTGGTTAATTCACCATTATTTAGCTGAAGAGGTCTTTTTTGTATGCCAAGGTTTTAACAAATATCATATTAACCCCAATTTAAATGGAATTCAGGTATTGGAAAATACCTTTCTCAATGGCGCTTGGAATTTTTTGTGAGATTTGTGTTTTTCGTCATCTTCCTTGCTTTTGCGCTTTTTAATCCTCGTTCATCTTAATTAGTCAATCAAACAAACCAAAAATTCATATAAATAAATCATAAGTATATTCATACAATAACTTAGAGACAGTCAGTAAAGCCAATGCCGATTTCAACGGACACCAGCGAAGCAGATGAACCAACAAAGGAGAACACACAAGTATTTGGGCTAAAGAGAATTAATAGATAGTAAACAAGAGCAGGGGGATTCCATCTATGCACTTCAATTTTTATCTATGCTTGTTTCACTCTTCATTTCTTCCTTTAGGGCTTCATTATTACACTTCCATTGAAGCACCATACCAGAAAACTCCATAATTCTGAATCAGAAAACCTAATTTAGATTCAAACACCGAAGAATTCTTCAATGAATTTTGAAAATTTAATTAGATATCCTTAATTTAATTTTGAGGACAAAAACCTAGTTTACGAACTTTTAGCCAAAACCTTAACATTAGATTTCAGAATTAGAGAGAAGAAAAATGACAGCGGTGTAAATGTAGAGGCTCAAAAACTCCAGTTTACGCACTTCTAACCAAAATCCTAACATTCGATTGCAGATTGGGAGAGAAAAAAAATGACAGATGAGCAGAGGTAGAGAGGCTAGAGTTAGAGATTGAGAACAACAAAATTACCTTACTTGAATCGATTGAGAGGCTAGTGGTGACGGAGGCGGCGGAAGGCTGGCGGAGGTGGCGGAGGCGACAAGCGAAACGAGAGAGCGAGTGGAAGGAAAATGGTGAGAGAAAAATAACAAGAGACGGATGCAAAATAAAAGATGGGAAAAATAATATTGAATTGCTAAATGACAAAAGATTTAATTGTAAAAGATTTATAATTAAATTTATATTTAATTATAAATTATTTGGTTTTGTGACAAAAATAATTTTGTCACAATAAAAATGAATGTGACGAAATTACTTTGTCATAAAAGAGCTAAATGTTATCACTAAAACGGGTGCACCAATTGTTGGAATGAGTCAGATATTTCTTTTCGAGACGAATTTATAATGTTGTCGCATAAGATGAACTTAATGTGACGAAAATAATTTTGTCTCATAAAACATTACTTTATGAGACGACATCTGATTTCGTCATATAAACTTGTTATTGATGTGACGAATTTTACTTTCGTCACAATAAATTGTCACAAAAAATATATTTGTTTGTAGTGTGTGCGGGTTAAAAAGGGTTAAATAACTTTTTGTGTAACTATTCCTGATTTTTTTTGTTAGCTAAAATATCAAATATTTGATAAAATTAAAAAAAAAAAGGTACAAATAAAAAATAAAGTCTGGAAAATCCGAAATCAGAGTTATTTGCCACAATGGATTATTTACATTAGGTGATTGTTAATCGTATATAGAATTGAATAACTACCGATTAAACATACATATATACGAGTGGTGTGTGATCATGTGCAGCTATCCGAATAACAAACACTCAAGCAAAATAATCAGATGTGCATAGAATTTTTGATTGGCCTCTTTTTATTAATTACCATACTACTTTTGATGTCCAGATTTTCATATATTGAATACAGATTCAATATCTATATATCACACACTTATATTTGATTACTTACATTTTTTTTTATTAATCACGATTTATGACAAGAACTTAAAATTACCTTAATTTTGATATTACAGTTATTTCCGTAGATATCTCATGTTCATCCCTAAAATCATAATGCCTAATTAAGGTAAATCATAACTCCAACAAGAAAACAACACGTAGAAGCTAACTTGTAGAAAAATCTTTTTTTTTTTTTTTTTTTTCCTTTTGAGAAACTGTAGAAAAATCTATTACCTAAAATACTATATTTGTCTTACAACACGACCGGAAAAAACATAAAAGCAACTCCAACAATGTAATGAAAACCTATAATTTACATTATTTGCACAATCTCAACTAAAAACCACATCTCCAACAACAAAATGCAAAAGCTTAGAATATGTCAAAAGAATAACTTTGGTTTCTCAAATTTGGATAACTAAAGTTAATTTTTAACAAATAGTGTAAGCATTTAAAATAATAAAATAATCACATTAAATCATATTCAACCACAAAATATGGTAGTTCAACTTCAAGTAATTTTTTTAATTAATTAATATGTCCAAAGTTGAAATTGTATTGACGAATATATATATATATATATATATATATATATATATATATATATATATATATATATATATATATATATATATATATATATATATATATATATATATATATATATATATATATATATATATATATATATATATATATATATATATATATATATATATATATATATATATATATATATATATATATATATATATATATATATATATATATATATATATATATATATATAATACTTAATAATATTAATATATTGGTTAGAATTATTATTTTTAATAATTTTTTAAATGGTTTTTACAATATAGTTGTTGGAATATGGTCATTGAAATATAATTTTTGAAATTAATTAAAAAAAAATTTTCGCAAAATAGTAAAATATAATAATTGTTTAAAATATAAACAATGTTGTTGGAGTGTGATGTTAAAAGTGGTTTTGTATTCATTGTTGACCTGCTAAATTATAGATATAGACAACCCTTTTTAAACGAGCTGTTGGAGATGGCCTAAGCATATTTTTTTTCTTTTTCGAACTTATTTGTTCATTTAGTTAAGGGGTTTTTGACCAACCATCTTTATTATTATAGGTTTAGGGCTATATCTCTTTCACAAATAAGTCAATTCCTTTAATATCGTATATATAAAAGAAAATTATTTTGGCCCTATAACTCTAGACCTAAATAAATTGGTTCAATTTTTTCAGTGAAGCTGTCGTTAGAAAAAAAAATGTAAAGAAATCTGATTTTCATTTGTTTAGAATACTTCAATTTTATTTTTTCATCATCCTACGGCTTCTTCTTTTGATAAATACCGCTTTTCGATTTGTAAGTAAAACATGAAGTCGTTTGACAAGAATATAAATAAATTGTACCAAAACATTTTGCAAAACTGATTTATGTTTATAAATAAGTTATAATCTTTTTGTTGGCAGATGTTTTGTCAAAATTTTACAGGATTTTATGTTTTACCGAAAGATTTTGCAAACTTAATTTTTGTTTAGAATGTTTTTACTTTGTAATTTGTGTATGCTCCATTTTTATTACGCTTTATCATGAATCAAATTCTATGTGTGTCTTCAACAAGCTTTTGGGTGTTCACGGTTGTGCATTATTTCTTTCTTATTTTCTTCTTCATCATACTGGTAAGTTTGGATCTCTTTTTTTCATCATAAAATAATGGGGCCTTAAGATATAAGTCTATGTTGACAAAACTTATTAGAACTAAATGACAAGTTTAACTAAACATTTGCTACACATCCCTTACAAAATTCTTTCCGAAAATACCCCTCCACTCACAAATTCGAATTATGCATTAAGTAAAATTCAAAGTGCATTTATCATCTTTTTAGTTTGCATCTAATATTTTCATTTTTCATCAAATATTTTCATATTTGTTTTACACAAACGATGTTTTGTTTTCCTTTCAACATTTTAGCATTTCTTACACTATTTGTAAAACAAATAAAATTCTTCTTTTCTATATAATACTGAAAATTACAAACAAATATGTTTTTCATTTTTCTTAATTTAATTTACGTATTTTTTTAATTTTATTTGTTGTCAATACTATAGTAGACTATGATATACTACGATATACTATGGTGTACTGATGTTCTATAATATACTGGTATACTATGATATACTACAGCGTATTATGGTTTACTACGGCGTACTATTCGAAACCCTAGCAGCAAAACAAACTCTCGGCCGTCGCCAACCCCTAGTAGCCGCCGCCAACTCCTATCAACAAAACCCTAGCCGTCAACCAAAATCCAAGCGTCGGGAAAAAACCCTAGATTAATACAACCACCACCCACCGTCGATCTAATCTCAACCACCGTCTCCAATGGCCATCCCCACCATAACCATCACCTCTATAAACACGACCACCGCCGTCATTGCCACCTCCGTTCCTCCCTTCTACATCCGCCGCCTGCTCCACTACTAGAAAAATGCCATTTAGCAACGGACATATTCGTCTCTAAATTGCGAATATCCGTCGCTAAAGAGGGTTTAGCGACAGATTCGGTCCGTTGCTAATGCCATCGATAAAAACCGCGTCGCTAATTTTTAGCGAGGACGAGGTAGAATCCGTAGCTAATTTGCAACGGCTATAAATCGTTGCGATATCCGTCACATATTTAGCCATGGAGTATGTTGTCGCCAAATCCGTCGTTAATCTTAACAAATACTTTCTCGCAAAATCCGTCACTACTATGGATAGATCTATCCCAAAATCTCTATTATGTTTTCGATTTTATTAAATATTTCAACACAAATAACACCTATTCAAATTTATTGCCTGATGCATATATACTCTTAAAAAAATACCACACTTTCCGAGAACATAGCATTAAATCAAGCAAATGATCTTATATATAGCTTTGCATGTGTGATAAAAATCATAATACAACATCCAACCAGAACATCCATTTACAATCTTCTAACCGTTTGCAATATAGTCACAATAAAAACAAAAAAAATCAATCCTTTAACTGCAATGTTGACATGGTATCTCTAACAGATCCTTCCGATTGAGTTTTGTGCTCGATGGCAGTATGAAATATTAGCTTGCACTCTTGAAAAGTTGTTCCTTTTTATCTGTCATCCAACTCCCTCAAGCGAAAGTACTGTCTCCAACTTGTTTATATAACCACTGTCACTAATGCCTCATCTCCATTAACATCTCCTGGATTAGGTAAACCAAAAGAAAAAATTAATGCAATGTAACAAAGAACAAAGGACAGAGAAGAGAAAAGAGACAAAATGAGAAACTTATGACAATATCTGATAGATCATAACTTTGTATGCAAAACATAGGGTGGTAAAACAAGATGCATTGAGTAGAATGAGTATAAAAGAATAATCAGAATATTAGATTTATCATAAAGATTAGAGAAGAATTGTAACAAAATGTATGACTTAAAATTAGTAAATTATTAAAGTAGCATACCTTCACCACACACACAGGTTGCTCAAATTCTCACTCTCATCTTCGATCATCTTTACATGTATCAGGTGTTGCAGAACTAGAAATTAAATATGAAATTTAACTTAAAATTATTGCACAATAAACAACAAATATTTCTAAAATAAAAGGAATACGAATAACCAAACCATTATATTTCAACAACTAACCATCATTTGCTGCAAATATAATCTCAAAATCTTCTATCATCGGTATATAATTATAGGTATCATCTTTGTATACCAATTGGGTCGACTCTTTAAACCTTCACTTCTTCCTAAAAAATATTTATAATATAACTAAAAAACAAAAACAAAATCAAAAGGATATAATACACTAAATGTTCTACAAAAACTAATTAATCTATCATATTACCTGCTCAATTGCACAAGTGTTTCAGCCTCGGTTATTTTTCCCCAACTTAATTATGTTAGCTCTTGTTCACATACAGTCCAGACGCACAATTTTAAACTCAAAACCTGGAACTAAATAACATATAATTAATGTGATTAGTAAATTATATAAACCAAGCACAAAAAAAAATGAATAACAATCATTCTCTAAAGTAATTCAAAAACTGAAATTGAATAACCTTTCTTCTTACAGTTGTCTTCAATCTGAATATTTGTTCACTAAAGCTTCAAAATCTTTGTCACTAGTACCACAAAAACAATTTATTCAACATAATAATAATAAATAAATAAATAAATAAAATAAAATAAAATCTATCATATCAGCTAGATTTTATGTCAGTAATCTATGTACCTAATTAGAAATTAGGGTTTTTACCTAACAAGACATTAAACATACAAAAAAATCGAATTAAAAAAATGAAATAAAATAATTTACCCAATTTAAGATTAGGGTTTTCTTTCAAATATGGCTAGCGGCTCTAATGATGGGCATCATCTATACCGGCGAACGACTAGGGTAGCGTGCCGCAACAGTGTTCGGTGAGAATTACAGAGATTGCCTTGTGGTCGGCGGCGGCGGACTTGAAAACTAAGAGCCTTTGGGTGTTTGCCTTTTTCAACCGGCGACGAGAGGGAAGATGGGGAATGGTGATTTGCGTATAGGAAGATGGTGGACCGACTAAGACTTAGCTTGAATGGTTATTGAGGGAGACGAAAGGGTTGAGGAGAGATTGGAGAATTTGGGAGTATGGGAAAAAACAAAGAAATGGGTTTCTTTATTTTGAAATGAAAAGTGAAAAATGGTGAACGATGAATTCATGAATTAAATAATTGATACTTTGTTTTAGTCACGGATCTTTGGCTGTCACTACAATTATTGCTAAATCTTTTTGTTTGAAACGAATTTATTGTCCGTAGCTAATTTGCGTAGCTACTGTTCAAACTTTATAGCTGAAGGGACGATTTTGTATACCGTCGCGAATTCCGTTGCTAAATATTAGTTTTAGAGACAAATTCATTACCCATCGCTTATTGCCGTTGCTAAATGGCGTTTTTCTAGTAGTGCTCTGCCGCATCACCGCCGAGGTCTCCAAAAATCTCGAAATTTCGAGATCTCCGCATCTCCCCCTTTAGCCTTCTCTAACACTCCGTGGAAGATCTGGATTGGGTTCTCCAATTTCGATGGCATCGAAATCCTCAGTCTGCAAAAATATGAGAAAAGTAGAGAAAGGGGTGAAAGTTGGAACGATTCAAAAGAAGAGAGAAAACGACGGGAGGTGGGGTGGCTGGGAAAAAAAAGGAGGGGAAAGAGATTAATGAGAGTAAAACCTAATTTATTATTATTTATATTAAGGATATTTTCGGGTTAAACAAAAATAAAAGGATGTGGGTTAAATTTTATTTTGAACTAAGGATTTAGTTAATATATTTTATTTGAGGTTGTCATCCACTTTAAATTAGGTTTATGTTGAAGAACTCTTAGCATATTACTCCTAAAATAATATTGTTGTGTTATAGTATTTTGAAAAGATTTATTTTAGTGCTTTTGAAACAATTATAGAACATTCTGCCTTTTGAGTCATTATTATGTTACAAGTTTACTGCATAGAATGGATTTTCTGACTTTTCATTACGTAGAAATGAATTATACGACATGATCTCACATTCTTTTTGTTATAATTATAAAAAATTCTTATTTGGTCGTTTGTTATATTTGTTCGATGGGAAATTTCATTTTTCCAGATTTTACGAATACTTTTTCAATCATAGTTTATTGTATGTTTGTTCATCACAGTGAAGTGAAGTTTTTGGTATTTTTACGTGATAATTTTTTAACAGTATGTTTTCAGATTTTCTATCATCTCTTTCGCTATCACCAATCGACAGCTACATACAAATTGCAAGTGATTAGGTACAAAACATGAACAAGACCCTTAGAAGTTGCAGTTGGTACTTTTGTCTATGTTCCCAAAGTGAGTAGCTAAATCTAGCTATATGAAGCATAACATATTTTATTTTGTTTTTCTATCTTATTGATTCATCGGGGACAAAACTGCAAGAAGAAGAAGAAGAAGAAGAAGAAGAAGGAGGAGGAGGAGGAGGAGGAGGAGGAGGAGGAGGAGGAGGAGGAGGAGGAGGAGGAGGAGGAGGAGGAGGAGGAGGAGGAGGAAAAAAAAATCAACGTCGGAAACCGGCGGAAATATCATGAAGAAAAAAAAAGTCAACGCCGAAGACCGACGGTGACAAACGAAATATTCCATGAAAATGTGTTTTTGTTCAAAATTGATTAATTTGTGAAATTAGGGTTCAAATTGATGTTAAATTAAGTTAAGGATAAAATTGGAGCAAGAGACTATTTTAGTCTATTACGAACTTCTGGTTCTGGACCATGTGTAATTTTTTTTGCAAAGGACTTTATGAATAAGTACTCGTTGATGGACTTATTTATTAAGTGTCATTTAATTAATCCCAAGTTTAGTTTATTAAAAATTAAAAATTTATATACGTTATAGCTCATTTGATGCAGATTATCTAAATTAATTTTATTTAGTGTTTTTTTTATTTCTTTATTTTTAAATATTTTTCAATTTCTATTTTTTAATTCTCGGTTTTTATTATAAATTAATTTTTTTCTTATTTATACTTTCATATTTTTTATTTTGATTTAATTTTTTCTAGCTTTATTTTTTTATTATTAATTTTCCAGTCGGTTTTAAAAAATTCAAAATTGAAATCCATTACAAACTTATTAAAGTCCACTTCCACTATGAAATTAAAATAAATCACTACCAAATTAATCTAATTCGCTCTTAAAAATAATGTAATCCACTCTAAAAATTAACATAATACATTGTTAACTTAATGTAATTCACAACAAAATTTTACTAGTCACCTTTAATAAATGTCATAAGCAAATTATCGATACAAAATAATATAATGTGGTTCGACAAAATAAATAAAAGTAGCATGAATTTTCTTAAGAAAATTACTATTGTTCTGTTCATTTTCATGAATGGCAAAAAGGACGCCAACAAACACCACCACCTCCACTCCTGCCGCCATGCATGACTCCCCTGCTCAAGAACTGAAATTAAAAAAAAAAAAAAAAAAAAAAAAAAAAAAAAAAAAAAAAAAAAAAAAATCAGTCGAATTTGTTCAAAAAAATTCATTTTCAAAGGCACAAAATTGAAATTCACAACATTTTATCGAAATTCACTATAACTTATTGTAAGAAAACTACTACTATTTTTCTATTTTATTCTAATAAAATCAACTACAACATATTATAACAAAACTACTATCACTTATTTTAAGACTAATATCATTTTTACTAAGAGACACAAAAATAATTTTAACAATTATAAATAACAAAACTACTACTATTAATCTGTTTTGTACTTTTTTTGTTTTAGAAAAAAAAGACACCAAAAATGAATGCACACCGCACCACATGCAGCCGACGAATAAGCGGCATGCCTTATATTCAATACAAACTAGATCACATTTCACGGAATCATAGAAATGAAATTAAAGAAAGAAAAGTTGGTCGCTTACAAACATCGGTGAAGAAGAACAAGCGATACAAAATTACAACATAAAACAAACAAATGGCGGGAATGTTAGTTTTTGGCCCAAATGTGTTTTGGGCCATAGAGCCCAATTGTCATCTGTTTTTTATACACCACCATATTGAGTTAAGCCCAAGTTATTTATGAGTGAGCCCAATCCATTTCTGAGCCAAATCCATCCGTTGGATTTTATGATGAATCTGGACCGTTCATTGTCTCACTTAAATACCTCTTTCTCTCTCCTCACTTCTCTCATTCTGACACCCTAACCTTAGCTCTTCTTCTCCGCCGCTCCTGCTTCTGTCTTCTTCCTTCCTTGTACTGCCTTGACTGAGTTATGGCTAGAGGTCAAAAAGCATGGTACAGTGCTGACTTTGACTCTCCGGTACAGCCTTCACCGGCTCTATTTGACTTCTGTCCCTTTAAATACAGGTATGGAGGCTGGAAGAGGGTAAGACAGAGAAAAACCCTAAATCCGACCTAAATCCCTCAGTTTTCTATCTGTGAGTTCTGAAATAGGGGTTTTGGTGAGTGGGTAAGCTTGAGTGCTTGATCTGTTCTTCCTTCGTGGTTTTTCTGGGTAATCTAGGGTTTGAGTGTTGTGAGAGAGAGAGAAGATCTGTTCTTCTTGAGGTACTCTGGTGGTGTATATTGGAAGTGTGAATCTCTGGTGTGAAATTGGAAAATTGAGCTGAAAATTTCAATCTATTATCCTTTCAATTTTTCATACCTTTCATTCCTTTCTTTCATTTATACATATTTATATATATATATATATTCTCCTTGGCAGTAATCAATATTGCACAAGGGGAACTTATATATTTTACAGTAGGTTTGAATAGAGCTGGGCAGTTTGATACACTACAGTGGTATTAGAGCTATGGCTATAGCTTAGCTCTACTCAAAGCGGAGTAATCAAAACCTAACTTGGTTTTGTCAAGGTAACACCTCTGAAACCCTAAATTTTCTTTTCTGTACGTTGACCTGTGGAGTTTGGGAGCCCTGTGTGGCTATTGAGTTGGCCCTGTGTGGCGTGGTGGCCCTGTGTGGCATTATGTGGCCCTGTGTGGCATTACTTGACCTTACTTGATCCTTCCCTTACTTCTGTTTGGTTACTTTTCCGCTCTTAGTGTAGTTTAGGATTGCTCTCATCCACCCTTTCTTGTCCGGACCGCCTTAGTGTCGCATGAATCTGGAAAGGGGAGGGCAATCTGATTATTTATTGCGCTACTTTGTATCTCTGTGTGATTTTGTGTGACTCTGTGTGATTCTGTGCCTCTAATCTGTGTGAAACTATGAATGCTTATCCCTTAGCTCCTTTGATGGAAAAGGGGATTTTCCTATTTGGCAACAGAAAATAAAAGGTGTTTTAGTACAACAAAAATGTTTTAAAGCTGTTACATTAGCATATGATGATACCACTACTGCTGCTAAGAAGGCAGAATTTGATAAACTTGTTTATTCTTTGATTATCTTGAACCTAAGTGACTCTGTGATTAGAAAACTAGGAAAACAAGATAATGCTAAAGCCTTGTGGAATAAATTGGAAGAACTTTATACTGAAACCTCCTTGCCCTCCAAAATGTTTTTGTTGGAAATTTTTTTTAGATTCAAACTGGATTTAAACAAAGACATTGATGAAAACCTTGACATTTTTACAAAACTGGTTCAGGATATTAAGCTAACTGGAGACAAAAATATTGATGATTAC